GCTGCGCCGAACCGGGAGCGCCGACACCGGCAGGCACGGCTGGGCAGGGCCGCGGCGGGCGGGCCGGGAGCGGGGGCGGGGGGGAGCGCTGCCATCACCTGCCCTGGCTGGCGGCGGGAGCGGGGGGGGGCCGGTTCCGCCGCTCCGCCCCTCCCCGCCCTCAGCCCCGGCTGCGCTGACCGCCCTCTCCCCTCCGCAGAGGCCGCCCCCGAGCGAGGGAAGCATGTTCCGGCTGATGAGGGATGGCGAGCCGGAGGACCCCATGTTTGCCATGTGAGTCGGGCTGGGCATCCTGCGGGGCGATCGGCGGCGGGCAGCCAGGGAAGGAGGGAGGGCTGCGGCACGGAGCGTCCCCAGGGAAGTGTGCGCTGGCCCCGCGTCCCGCCGGGCGGGCAGAGCCGGGCGGGCCCGGGAGCGCCGCGGCTGCCGGGGCAAACACGGACACCTCCGGAGGGGCAGCGCGGTGCCGGGGGCAGACACGGACACCTCCGGAGGGGCAGCGCGGTGCCGGGGCAAACACGGACACCTCCGGAGGGGCAGCGCGGTGCCTGGGCAAACACGGACACCTCCGGAGGGGCAGCGCGGTGCCGGGGGCAATCACGGACACCTCCGGAGGGGCAGCGCGGTGCCTGGGGCAAACACGGACACCTCCGGAGGGGCAGCGCGGTGCCGGGGGCAAACACGGACACCTCCGGAGGGGCAGCGCGGTGCCTGGGGCAAACACGGACCCGCAGTAACAGGGCTCGCGTCGGTCTCGTTTCCGCGATATTGGAGCGTGGTCTTGGAGGAAAGCGTAATAAAGTAGGCCAAAAGGCATCGCAGCTGTCTTGAGAGGAAGAGAGGGCTGGAATAATAACTAATCTTTTTCTTTGCGCGAGGATTTTTTTTTTTTTTCGTTATGCAAAGTAGGGTTGCAGTTGAGATAGATAAAATCTGCTGCTCTGTCCAGTGTTTGTTGCTGTTCTGCACAGGAAGTCATTAATGGAGCTGGAGAAGGCTGCTGAAGCAGTTGTCAAGTTGTGAGGAACAAAGTAAAGAGAAAACAACGGGTAGTTTTGAAACACGAGTATTGAAATCTAACAAAGGTCCCAGGAACTCTTCCTGGGATTCCTTTCACTAAATGTTTTTGTTTCCATCCTCAGTACAGAAATTGGATGCTATTGATAAATTTTGGCAGTGACACTAAGTTGGCAGCCCTTGCCAAAGTGGATAAGGAATAGACTGTAATACAGGAAGAATTTGATTATGTTAAACAAGACACTACTAGAAATTTGGTGAAATTTGTGTATGTAGAAGAATAGTCAATCTTTTGCTTAGGAAATCAATAGTAAGCCAGAATTTTATCAGCTGTGAGCAAATGAGCAGGAGAGGAGACCTTGATGTCCCAGTTAGTCACTGAATGACTGTGTGTTCTCATTTACATGGCAGGTATGAGTCTAGGTTTTATTATGGGAGGCATTTGCAGTAGAGACAGAAAAGTATTGGTTTTAAGTATTTAAGTAGTGGGTACTTCTGTCATCTCAGGAATAATCTGTGCTGTGGAGGTCATTAAAGCTCAAGAGGGATAATTGCAGGCTACAAGATGTGCAGGAAAAAAGCTATGGTATTTCCCAGAAGTTTCTAATTGTGGCCATCCTATTCTGTGACTCTTTATCCTCACCCTCCTTTTCCTCCTCTTGCTTCACCAACTTGTGTGAGTGCATGCAGCCCTCAAAGTGGAGGCTGCAAAAGAAGGGAATACCAGTTGGGGATCCCAGTTACTGTCCCCTTTCTCCCTCAAATCTGGAAAAGCTGTATGTGGTCTCAACCCCTGGGGGCAGAGGGGTGTCAGGCCATGCAGTCCCTTCTGGAGGTTCCACTCTTGCATTTCACTGTTTGTGTCCGTGTACATGGAGGGGTGAGAGGACGATATGTAGGATCTCCTGCTCCCTGGTGCCATTAAGTGTAGCCCTCACTTTGCAGCAGGGAAGATCTTCTTGCACCTCCCTACAAAAGATGTCAGAGCAGTGAGGTTCTGGAGTGGCCTTGGCCCTACTCGTCTCCAGAGCAGTACTGAAGCAGAACACCAAGCTGCTTCTGAGCAGACAGAAATTAGTACCTGAGAGGGCTTCTGCGGTATGAAACCTTCTACCACGAGAAATGTGATGGGATCCAGAGATCCCTTCCAGCCCCAGGAGTCACCATGGACAGCACAGACATCTCAGGATTCTGAATTTTCAGCTTGGGAAGGAGTGTACAGTTGTGTAGGAATAACACAGAGCTGGGAGGAGCAGATTATTTGGGGCTTTGTCCTCACCATTGTTCTCTGCACCTCTCCAAAGGGATCCTTTTGCCATCCACCGGCAGCACATGAACCGCATGCTGTCTGGGAGTTTCGGGTTCGGGCCGCTCCTTGGCATCACGGATGGGACCACCCCTGGGGCTCGCCAGGCTGGCCGCAGGATGCAGGTAACACAGGGGCTGAGCACGGGCCAGAATTCCTCAAACTGATCTGGCAGTTTGTGTCTCCCGCCCTTCCTGGGCTGGGCTCCCCCCTCTCCTCCACGCAGGTGGTGGGTGCAGAGTAAATCTCTTAGGCAGTGGTGTTCTGGTCCTTCTCTTTATTCCACCTGGATTAAGGTGTTGAATGCAACTGTGCTCTGGGTTGGACGGGAGGAAGGGAATAAATACTAAATACGTGTTGTGTCTCAACGTTCAAGGATGTGAGTTCATATAATGGGGAGAAATGTAGGAGCATCGCCTCATGTCTGGTTTGTTAGGGGTGCTA